AGGCTCAAGATCTCCTCAGAAAGTTTCTTTTTATGGCTCTGCATTTCTTTTTTTGACAGTAAAATATATATCATTCAATGATGTAGCCATTGTTTTAACCAAATGCAACAGGTTACAGGGCTCCACACCAAGTAAGATTTAAGTAAAACAATATGCTTTTCCTAAGTGACATTTAAACAATCATGACTCACATCAAAACCACTTTAACTTTTTTAAAAAATAAAAACAACTACGTTATATTTACAGGACTTTGGCAAACGTGATGGCAAAAGAAAAGGCAGTTCTGAAATGAGACACTGGTTTCACAACGAAAAGAATGATACCGGGCAACGCTTGCCCGCTGTTTAGATGGAATCTGGCTCTACGTGCCAGATGATGCTTTTGGAGGAACTCCACTCTGCTGACTTAGCAGGCACTTCACCAGCTCAAAGGACACCAGAGGAATCACTGGTCACATTTCCTGGCTAGGAATATTACGCCACAGCCAGGTAGAATGGTCAAGTGTTACCAGCAACAGCTACACTGTAGGAGAACCTCAGCGCTCTTCCAGGCCTGACCCCCACAGCAAGATGACATAACGCCCAAAGAAGTTAATACTGATCATTCTTTCACCCAGTCACACAAACTGAGGTGCCCAGACATGGGGAAGGAGAGATTAAGCACAGAGCTCCCCTTCTACGTGCAGGAGATGGACACTGATCAGGCTCAGTTTAAATAATATTAGGTAAAGAGTATAAAATAGAGTAATACAGGTGTCACTGTCTAGTCGGGGAAGGCTATTCTGAGAAAGTCACTGGAGCACCGAAAAGAAGCCAGAGCTGGAGAAAGAGCACTCCACCAAGGGGCAAGCTCAGTGCCCAGCAGCCCCATGGGGCCACAGAGGCTCCAGACAGAGCAGAAGGAAATCAAAAACAGCTACACTGAGGCGGAAGTTCACTCTGAACCTGAGAGGCCAACACTGGAAACCCACCAGAGGAGCCTGGGCATGCTGGACACTGTTAAAAGATCCCTTTATAGTCTGTGGAGATTTACTGAAGAGGAGTGAACACACATGGAAAGACTGCGAAGGAATAATGTAAGGCTCTTGCATTATTCCAGGTGGATAGCAACGGCTTTAGCCAGGGTACAGAAGAACTTACTTGTTTCTAGAGGTACAATGGTCAAAGCAAGCATACCACGTAGGTCCTTTTAATACTTCATCTTACAGATGGGAAAACGGGCTCTGGGGAGGCTGAAGAAATAGACCCCGGGTAGGGACCAGGATTTGGAGCCCATTCTGCCTTTATGGGTGACAGCAGAAAAGTCACATTTCTAGGGACCAACGATTTCTTTCCTTCTGGTCAATGTGCACCTCTAACAACCAACAAATGTGAGGGAAGGCACTCTGGGAATCAAACCCAGAGCCTTGTTCATGCTAGGCAAATACCTTACCCTTCAGCGATTTTATATATATATAATCTAGCTGGCTTTGAAAAACTAGTTTAACTACCAGGCCAGGACTGGTCTGCAGGACCAGTGCTGCTTTCGGGAAAGAACAAAGATTGGGTTTGGGGACTTCTGAGATCTCAAGATCTTTACAAAGTATCTAGCAAAAAAGCTCAAGTCATCGTCAAAGAATGAGTCTTTGTTCAAGCCACTTAAAATAGATGTTAATGCTGGACATGGCGGCGCACGCCTTTAATCCCAGCACTCGGGAGGCAGAGGCAGACAGGTCTCTGTGAGTTCAAGGCCAGCCTGGTCTACATAGTGAGTTCCAGGACAGCTGAGCTACAGGGAGACCCTGTCTCAAAAAGACAAAAAAAAATAGATTTTAAGTATTAATATTTGATTATCCAAAATTACAGTTCATAAATCACACATAAACATGGAATTATGTGGCATTTTATTACATGCTCCTTTATTAAAATATCATAATGAAATCCCAGCACTTGGGAGGCAGAGACAGGCGGATCTTTTTGAGTTCGAGGCCAGCCTGGTCTACATAGCGAGTTCCAGGACAGCTGGGGCTAGAGGGAGACCCTGTCTCAAAAAGACAAAAAAGAAATCATAATGAGGGCCAGAGAGGTGGCTCAGAGGGTAAAGGTGCTTGCCACTAAGCTTTGACAACCTGAGTTCAATCACTGGGACCCACATAGTGGAAGGAGAGAACTAAAAGTAGTACGTGTACACACACACACATACACACAAACACACACACAATAAATAAATAAATATAATTTTTAAAATTGTTTAATGTAACCCTGAATGAATACCAAATTATGAAATGCCAATCTAATGCTTATGTAATTTTTAGTTGAAACCAGACAGACTAATAAATTTTAAGCAGAAACTGGAATCTTGTTTTCAAAGGGCACAAAGTTAAATTACAACACTCCTAAATACTTTTGACTCATCTCTTTACTACAACTATTATACCAGCGTGTAAAGATATAAAAATGATATAAAAGCATACCATACTTTATATGTTATAAAATATATATATAAAGCATACTTTTATATTATAAAGATATAAAAAA